AGAACAGAGGCATTCTAGACTACCCAGCATGAGACAGAAAGGAAGATGTTAATCTCGTCCCAGGTAATTACCTTATAACAACATTAATTTTGTTCATGCAACATGATGTTGTGAAAACAAATGAGAAGGGAATTCACATGCAGCAGCTGCCATAAAAATACGTTGAAGACACACAGCTGAGTGAACAACTCCTCTTTAATAAAACTATCTCTTTTAAAGAGAAATAATTGGAGTTTAGTTGTAGCATTTGAATTATATGATGCTTTAAGCTAAAGTAAAAGTCATGAGTATAGCATTCCGTAGGACATGACTGCATGGCTTCCCATCACGGCAAAAATCATAGAGAAACTCCCTTCCCCATCTGTGAAAAATGACATAACATATCGAATTATCTGTTTCACTTTTAAATGAGCCAGTTTATTATTTGGGGATGTAGTCCTAATCTGAGCTTTTATGTTTATGGTAAGGTTTTATGGAAGCATTCAATCAAAGTTGCCACAATGAAGCACATGGTGTTACAGAAGGTGACAAATTAATTTGCAGCTTCGCAGACAGTTGTAACTTGTGAGCTCAAACAGCTTTACATTCCCTTTCAGTTTGGAGAAGAAAGTCCGCCAACACCTTCCAGAAGAGAGCATTTTAAGTTAAGTGGCCACATAATACAACTATGATGGTGTCCTTTGAAATTCATTCCTTCTTTTTACTCTGAATGCCTAAAGCTTTCACTTTAGCATCTCAAGACAGTGGAAAGGCTCACACTACCTTTAGGATTTTCTGTAAATCATTTAAATCTTTGTTATAATGCAGGCTTTATTGTTCTTCCTCCCCAAATCAGAAGTTGGCCTGGTATACTTCAAATCGCAAACTCCGTGTTCAGAAGCATGCTGCATTTTCCCTTCCTGAGAGAATTGTTTCAGTCTCAAGTCTCTTTTTTAAGTCAGTTCCAGGGGCAGAAAAGCAAGCAGCTGCAGCCTGCAACTGTTTCTGGCTCCTTAAAGGTGTGCTATAAATGGGCCCAGTCAAGGCAGCTACCAGGGCTGTCAGGATTGCTTCAAGTATGACATGCAGATTAAAGAGTACATCCCTAGTCCCAGGAGCTGGAATATCAGTATCAAAAGATATCTACACACACACACACACACACACACACACACACACACACATGCACTCATACATACACGTGCACACACTCATACACACATGCACACATACATACACACTCATACAGATATGTACACATGCACATACACACACCTCCACACATTCACACATATACATATGCAGTCACACATGCATACACATACACACTGAGTCACACACACATACACACATTCACATTCACAGATGCACACTCACACACATTCACATTCACAGATGCACACTCACATACATACACACAGACACATACACATGCACACTCCCTCCACACACATGCATGTGCACACACACATAGGCACAGCTGATGTGCTCACTCATAAACTTATAAATCTCCATGGCATACAGGGCTATTTAGCACATAGGACTGATCTGAAATGGAAGTTCTATATTCTCTAGAGCTTTGACCGCTCAACTAACAAGCCGTCTTCAAACGAGGAAAGATTCCAGCATGAGCCTGACTGTGGGATGACCATTCAACATCCGTGTTTTTCATTCCTCCTCGATAATGGAAATCTAATTTTATTTAAGTGGCAATTCATGCAGTTTAAAGCCAGATTTCTTGGATTTCCTAGTAGCCAGGAAACTAAGGCAACACAAGTCCCAGTTGCTAGATGGAACTTAAGAGTGAGCACATGCTGTTTGTTGTCTACATAGAGACACAATGGGAAGAGCAACAGGAGCCACTTTGATTCCAATCTAACTGTAGAGACAAAAGCCACCAAACAGATGCCAATATCCAGCTGCTGGGTTCCATTGTGTACATACGAGTGTGCAAACGTGGTCAAATCAGTGAATTTACTCACATCAGAGTGGCTGATGCTCATTTACTTAGACAAATATGGCTCCTAACTTATAACAAAATTCTCAAAAATACAGCAGAATGTGGAAAACTCCTGAAAGAAGGTCTCAAAGGGGAAGGAAATCGTGGGATTATCAAAAAGATGAATGATGGGAGTTGGAGAGATGACTCAGCAGACAATAGCAAATACTGTTCCTACGGATGACCTGGGTTTAGGTCCCAGAACCCAAGTCAGGCAGCTCACATTGCCTGTAACTTCAACTCTAGAGGATCTGAAACCTCTGGCTTTTGCAGGGACCCGCACTCAGGTACACAGACACATACCCCATACACAAACAATCACATGCACATAGTAGTAAAATCATAGTAGTAAATCACATAAATTCTAAAAATGAATCTTTAGAAAAGGTGAAAGACACAGAATAGAAAAACAATTTTTTCAAAGATACAGAAGGAAGAAAAGGATGATGAATAACTTTTTTTTAACTATACCCAATGACTACCTCATAAATGACTCTTCCCTCAAGAAATTGGAAATTATGAATTCAGTGAAGGAGAGGATGAAGTCTTGATCTGATGTAGAAACACAATCAAAAATCAGATCAACGAGGTATAACTTGGTACACATGTAACTGAAAACCAAGTCCCAGGAGCAAGTGCAGTTCCATGCCTGTGCAGTTCTAGGATGTGTGCCAGAAGGATGCAGGACCCTCTGTGATTGAGCTTGTGAGCTCTGGAGTAACCGAATCCCAGCTCCCCACAGGTATGAGACCCAGCTCAAAGAGGATCAGAGTGAGGCTCCATGTCACAGAGCAAGTGGAGCAGGTAATTACAGAAGTGAAAGGAAGTGACCCTGGGGAAGTCGTCCAACCTTTCTGTGACTCATTTCTGTATCTAAAACAAGGAAGTTGTAATAATAACTATTCCACAGGATCATGGGGAGCATTAGAGATGCACATGGCAAACCAATGTTTGACTTCATTTTGCCAGCATGTTCATTGTGTTTTCTTTGCAATATAATACTTTGCAAATACTTTGCAGCATAATTTATGCTAATACATATCAAGCAGATGAACTTTGAGGACTCAGGCAGCTTGAGGAAGAAGAGAGTACACTGATTAGGGAAGAAATAACAAGGAAAAGGAAAAGTGATGCAATGTTATGGAAATGTTTTCATAGGTTTATTTCTTTTTATTTTATGTGTATGAGTGTATTTCCTGCATGTGTGTAAGTGTACCTGTGTTGTGCAATGCCCGCAGAGGCCAGAAGAGGGTGCCAGATTCCCTGGTACTGAAGTTACAGATGGTGTCAGTTGCCATGTAGATGCTGGGAATCCAACCTGGTTCCTCTATAAGAGCAACCAGTGCTCTTAACTGCTGAGCCATCTCTCCAGTCCTTGTTTATTTCTTACATGTTTATCTGTTATAGAAGGCAAACTTTACACTAAAAAACTGTATTAAGTTTAATGTGTCAGTGGCTCTGACACAAGCCAGCTTTTCTTTGATAAATTCTACAGTTTATATCCATTAACAATTAAGCCTAAACCTATGGCTCACATAATCAGATCCCAAATTCTGGATGGACAGGGATCGTGAACACTGTGATGGTCTCAGTCAGTGAATGACTCCTCCCATGGACTTTGTCTTACAGAGGCTTGTGGCCAAGTTTAACAAGAGAAAGGCAAGCAGCTAAAAACTGAAACATAAATCTCCTGACAATTAGGAACAGGTTATAAAACATTATACAGGCATTCATAAAAGTTAGAAAGTGTGACGTTTTATTTTCGTTTAATGATACTTGGTAAAGGTGAGCAGAGCACATATGGAGAGCAGTTGCTAGTAGGTTCATATGGCAAATGATTGACCTTAAGAGAAATCATCAACAAGGTGGACCCTCCCTGTATCACAATGTGTTACTCAAGGCACTAGAGACATGTCATCCATCCTCACATGCCATTTCTATCCAAAGTGCTGTCTCCAAAAAGTAAACATAGTTGCACTTTATATACTTTATATGTTATTATCTGTGTACAAACATATACATATAACTACGAGAACAGTTTGAGAAGTCTAATCTTAAAACACTTAGTGAAAGTAAAAAGATTTACCAACATAAAAGGCTGAATTACTTTCTATAAAATTATGATTAAAGAACAAATTAAAAGAAATTGGAGGGCTGAAGAGATGGCTCAGCAGTTAAGAAATTTTACTGTTCTACCAGAGTACCACTGTTCAGATAGATCCCAGTACCCACATCAGGCAGCTCATCTGTAACTGTAGTTCTAAGGGATCTGATACCCTGGGTCTCCATGGGCAACTGTACACATATGTCCATGTACCCTTTCACAGACAGACAGACAAACAGACACACACACACACACACACACACACGCACACACACACAAATAAAAGAGAAGAAAAGAAAATAATTCAAACATCTCCAAATGACAAAAATTATAACAAGACATAAAACTCAGAAAAATTTATAAGAAAATATTAAGCTTCCAAAGAGTATATGTAAGGAAGACATGGGGAGATGGTTAACTGGAAAGAAATCTTTAGTCTGTTATCATCCCTAATGAAAAGTAACCATGGCAGACCTCCTTGCCATCTCAAGTTAACAGACACCTTTTAAAAAGTAGGGTTTGTGGTAAAATGGACACTCTGACTCTCTGTGAGGAGGGTTATATTAGAAGCACTTTTTGACAAAGCACTTTGTGTGTCAGGAGGTCATTTCTCCTCCAGGAGGTACTTGAACCCTGCAATCATCTTCTCCCCACTACCTGTGTCACAAAAATGTGGGTATGGTGCTCTCCTGGGAAAAAGAAAGCTAAATGTTTTAGGGAAACAGCCTGGGAATTTATGTCTTTGGCTTGCTAATTATAGTTATTTAAAGTCACCCTTAGCTTCTCAGAGCCTTCATATACTGCTGTATGTCAGGAAGAATTAATTGGACCAAACTGTTTGGAAAGCGCCTTGTTAAAATACAGCATCATGCTGCTGAGTTGACAAGAAACACTGAAATGGTCAGAGAAGCTCAGTACCTGTTCTTGATGTGCTGAGGGGGGCCAAGACACCTGAAGCTGCCGTCCACCATGATGGCCAGTCTGGTGCACAGAGCCTCACACTCTTCCATGCTAAGAGGAAATAAACAAGCTGAAGTGAGCCATGAACTAATGCTGGGACACCTGATTCAAACTTCAGACATAAAGAGGAAACAAAAAAACATTGAAATCTACCCAATGACTTTATAGACATACACAGGTGCCAAGGATCCAAGTGCAACCAATTATGACTAGTAATAATCAGATACATACAGATTAGAGACACATGCACCAACATCTCAGTCTTATTAGAAAAAACAATGAGTCTTTCTGTAAGAAACAGTATATTTTAAAATGAAATGGAGATCTTCTTTAAAGGTTAAAAATTCATTCAATTTTATGTCTTACACGGCTTATAATGAGTTCAATATTATATAACTGTATTAATTCAACAGCAAACCTAAAAGTTTTATAGCCACTTTTGTAAGAGATGTATCTTTGCTCTGGATACTGTTACTGAGTATGTTAAAGCTGTAATGAAATGCTTCTTCTAAAAAAACTTTAAAAAACACTTTAATTAGCAAATATTAATTGTGCAAA